GACGCTCTAGCTCGGGCCATTGGGGCCAAGCCTAATTCCTAGGTAGCCGGGCTCAAGACCTTGATTCTGGTGCCTAAGTCCTCTATGGCTGTGCCCAGTTACTTGGCTACAGAGCCTAAGTCACCGGCAACCAACGTTAGGTTCATAGAGGGGCTTGGGTCCCCAATGCCCGTGCTAAAGTTCCCAATAGCCATGCTTGGGACCTCGATACCCGTGCTTGGGTCCTCGATGGCTATGCACGGGTAGCGGACTTTCAAGCCCAAATCACTGGCTCCCAGGCCCGGTTTCTCAATGAGCCGACCCAAAAGTCTTAGGTCCCTCAAGATTGGGCCTCAGCCCTAGAGTTCGTGCCCGGGTCCTCGGCTGTCGTGCTCGAGTACCTAGCTCCTGTGCCTAGGCCCGAGTCCATCAAGACCGAGTCTGGGTCTCTGGCGCCCATGGTCAAGTTGCCACTAGTTGGGCCCAAGAAATTCCGGCTCCTGCAACTGGGACCTTGGCGATTGGGTATCTCTTATATGATATGAATAGTGTTATGTCTCTTTAGGAAAATAAAATTCAAATTTTCCTTTTCAAACGACGAAAATAATTTCCAATTCATTTTCACGATTCAATCAACAGCGGAAAATTATGTCATTTTCTTGAAAAATGACTTCTTGAAAAACATTCGAAAGAAATGTCAAGTTTGCAACAAAACAAAAGAAGCCAAGTGTTTTCTCTCTCTCTCTTTTACAGAGACCTTGACCCTAGGAAAGTCTGCTTCAAAGAAAGAATTCGGTTTTTGTCTAAGGTCGTCCCAAGACTTCCCGTGTGTTAAGCACGGTAACGCAAAAATCTAGCGCTTGAAGACTTGGATTTTACCATGAATATGCGGTGGAAAAAAAACCACACTTGTTTATCAAGGAAACTCTTCAACTGTGGCAAAATTACGTGATTTGATTGAGCATCAAGTGGTCAGTCATGGATCCCGGATTTCAAATAAAAGAAATTTTTTTTTGCAGCGACAAGAAGTTGATGATATGAAAAAAGAAACAAATTCAAATAAATGTTAATAACTAATTCAAACAAATATCAAAAACGCAAAATAAATTGGTAACTTAATAAGAGAAAAGTTGATATCACTATGGGAATTTCTATAAAAGAGTTAGTAAATTTGAATAGTTACTAAGGGTGCGCATGACAACGATTCTGTGCCCGGAAACTGATTCTGTTCAGAAATAATTCTTTTTATTCTGTACCCGAGAACTGATTCTGAGCATTTGAAGGCGTTTGGTAATAGCTCAAAATTTCCATTTCTGGAATAGAAAAGCATTTGGTAACGGCACAAAATTTATTTTTATTAATAATATTTTTAAATATTTTAATATTTCTTTCTTTCTTTTTTCTTTTCTTTTTTTCTTCTCCTCCTTCTTGGCCATGGCCTGGTCGCCGACCACAGGCGAGAGTCCCCCTCGCCGGCGAGGGCGAGGGCTAGACCCTCGCGGCCTAGGCGAGGGCCGCCCTCGACGGCCTTTGCCAGCCCTTGCTCGAGCCAACGAGGGCCGCCCTCGAGGCTCGCGACCTGGGCGAGGCCCGCCCTCGCCAGATCTGGCGAGGGTTGGACTTTCACCGCCGCCCTCGCCAGATCCGGGGAGGGCGGCCCTTGCCCAAGCCGCAAGCCTCGAGGGCGACCCTCGCCGGCTCGAGCGAGGGCTGGAAAAGGCCGGCGAGGGCTGCGACACCCTCGCATGTGTTGTCGATCGCTAATCACCGGTGGCCAGCCAGGCAAAAAGAACTGAAGAAGAAGAAGAAGAACAGTAAAGAACAGGAAAGAAGAAGGAAAAAAAATAATTTCTTTTTCAATTCTGATTCTTGTTCCCATAATCAAGAAGCTACTTTTTTTGCTTCTTGATTTTGTTCCAAAACTAATTCTGGAAATAATTTTTTGCAAATTTGTGCCCGGGAACAAAAAATTTACCAAATAGATTTCTGTTCCAAAACTAATTCTGGGAACAAAAGATCAGAAATTTTCACTGTTTGGCAACTTACCAAACAAGCCCTAAGCAAGACAAAAGGAGGAAAAGGTGGCAACTCAATTGAAAAGTTAACCGTTGGGATGTTTGCCCCAGTGGCCAACCTTCCTACTTGGGAAGGGGGAGGTGAGGAGTTCGAATCTCTACCTTATCATGGGGGCTAGGGGTGGGGACATGTAGTTTCAGATGTGGGTTTCGATTCCTGCGCTTTGCAAGAGACAGGGCAAAAGTCTGAGAGTGAGTTAAAAGTTAAAGTAAGACAGACAAAAAAAAATTGAAAAGTTGGTAACTATAAAAATAAATAAATACGTAAATAGTGATAAACAACTCGAATTAAAGTTTGTAACTGAAAACTAATTGATAACTTAATTGGAGAAAAGCTAGCGAGTCACACAAATAAATGGTGGTAATTTCATAAAATATTTGTAAATTTAAATCATTCATGAGAAGTAAATAAAATTTACTATTGATACGAGAAGTTTTTTTTTCGGTTAGACATGTCAATAGTTTAAACCCAAAAAAAAAAAGAAACATTCTTATCTAGCTTAAGTAAGTGTGAGTAAGACTAATTAGTAACTTAATCGGAAACCCGATAGAAGCCCAACGCTACTATAACTTCCATCACAGTTACCAACTAGTAACGTAATCACTCTAATTGAACATGGTAATTTTTTAAATAGAGTTGGTCAATTTAAATAGTTGGTAACCTAGGAAAATAATTATTAACATCGATAAGCAATTCAAATAAGAGTTGGAAACACAAAACTAATTGGTAAATTAATTACAAAAAATTGATAAGTCACTCAAATTAAGGTAGGTAATTTCATATAGTAGTTGGTAAATGGTATTGGTAAGAAAGATAAATAAAAATTTGTAGTAAAGAAATTTGTTGTGATAGAAAAGAGAAGTTGATAATTTTAAAAATCAAATAAACATTAGCAACTTGGTTTGCAAAGCTAGTCGGTAGCTTAATCAAAAAAAAATTGCTAATCGCTCTAATGAAAAGACATGGTAAGCTTAACGAGTTGGCAAGTGAGGTAATTAAAAGTGGGAAACTAAATTTAAAAGTTGATAAATTTAAAAAAAACAATCAAATGAGAGTAAAATAAAACTTGTTGGAAATCAACGGAAGAAAAACTGGTACACTTCACACAAAATAAAGGTTGGTAGATGCGTATAAGAATTGATAATTACCGGATATCTGGTCATATTTTTTTTTTTTTACCCGCAACTTTTTTACGCTTATTAACTTTTTTTCCAAGAGGTATTAATGTAGAGCAATACTTGTCAAAATATAAAACACCTTTCCGCATTCAGTTATGTTGAAAATTGTGATCCATTTTCTAGAATTTCCTAGATTTACTAAACTACAATCTAGAATCCGCTAGACGAAGTGTTGGGTAGTTAGAGATTATGGCTAGAAAATGTCCAGCATGTAAGAAGCAAAAATTCTCTGAACAAGTCCGAGACAATTTGGTTGAAGGCGGTGGATAGAGTCGGTTGTAATTGCCCATAGAAAGGCTTGCAATTGTTCATGTTGGATGTGTGAGGAGTGAGCTCAGAAATCCACATCCTTAGCTCTTCCACCAATACTCCTCCATCAACTATATCTGTATAACTATTTTGTTCAACCAATGAAACTATTTTTCCTTTATCCCATTATCTATATCCTTGAAGTTATCCTACCTTGTTCTCTTGTCCATCCTTTACCAAATATGTCCTATACACACTTGCACATTAAACCAAAAACTACCATCGATGCCAAAATCATGCTTCCACACAACATTCTAAATATTCAACATGGTATCAGAGCTCCAAATTCTGCAAGTTGATAGGCAAACTCTCTGTCCCCTCTCCCTCCATGCCATTCTCTGTGTTGAGAATAATAGCCAAGCGAATCGGATAAAATAGTCGGAATGAAAGAAAGGAAATCGAATACTGAATTTACGTGGTTTAGTCTAAATATCGGAACCTACGTCCACGGGTAAAGTAGCATAGAATTCCACTATAGAAACAAGCGATACAATGAAGATTACAATCACTCGAGCACTCAAATACACTCTCGGTATTTCTCAGCCCCCAATTACACCCAATATTTCACTCAGTGTTTAGCCCCTCACAATTCCTAGTGAAATCTCACCCAAGGAATTATACAAATTCTACTCACAAGAATTTAACCGACTAAAATCACTCGGGTATAATTACAACAAACAAAATCCCTCACGAGAAGAACTCTCTGCCTTCTCTCGGCCACCAAGAACTTGGCGCTCTCTTTGTTGGACGTCTCTCTTTCCTTTTATAAGAGGAAGAACGAGACAAAGAATGGATTCATTAAATTCACTAGACAAATCTCTAAAGAGCAACGGCGCCCTCCAATTTTCATGGCATGCATGCACATGTAACGAAGCAGAGAAGAAAAATGGACGTTCATGGACTCTTCTTTCCTCTTTCTTTGACCCATGCAGTGTGAATGCCCATTGCACTTTCTTCATACACGCCAACTCCAATGTTTTCTTTGTCTCTGTCTTCTTTCTTCCTTTCACATGCAGAGCATTTAATATGAGAACTGAAAAGTATGGCCGGCATGCTTAAGAAAATCGTAGACGATCATAAAAGTCCAACTATGGACTTAATTTTCTTGAGACAAACTCACACGCTTTGATTTTTGGTATTTGTTCAACGAGCTCAAACTCGAGACACATTTCAACACTCCGAACTTTAATCATATGCAGTAGAATAGTGCAAAAACGACCAGAGAACTTATGATCATGTCTATATCCACAGGAAAGCAATGAATTTGTTAAAATGAACTCTGCATTATTTTTGCTTCCCAGAAGATGAATAGCACAAAAAGAACATAAAACTTAGTTCTATTCAAATGAGACAAACTAGCAATGCGCCTCGCATCAATAAACCTCTCGAACAGTTTCTCCATATGGAATTGACAATCAAGTACATTTCAGTCTCACGTCGGAGAAGTTTTTCATGGCGATCGGCGCAGTTGTGGCGAAAGTCTAGATAGCACTGAGGACGGAAGTAGGACAAGGAGGTATTGGAATGTCCACTGTGCCTTCCATCATCAGAAGCACCTTCCTCATCGAAGGACGGAGCGATGGCTCTTCAAGGATGCACCAAAGGGCCACTTTAACCATTCTCTCCAACTGTCTTCTGTCGATCAATTCATCATGGACTAGTTTCTCTAGCTCTCGCGCTTGGAAACAGCTGTAGACCCATTCTTCAAGAACCGCTTCCTCATCGGGAAGGCTCCAATCCAAGCTTCTTCGGCAGCAGATGATCTCCTGCAACACGACGCCAAAGCTGTAAACGTCTACTTTCACCGTCACTGGCAAATTCTTGTGCCACTCTGGTGCGACGTACCCCCTTGTTCCTCTAATCCTCGTCATGGTGTTGGTTTGATACGGTCTCAGCAGCTTTGATAATCCGAAATCGGATATTTTCGCTCGCCTATGTTCATCGATTAGTATGTTCTGTGGCTTTATATCGCAGTGAATGATCTGGGTTTCACACTCTTCGTGGAGATACAGGAGGCCTCTGGCTATATGCCGAGCAATTCCCACTCTATCATCCCAGCAAGGTTGTTTTTCGGGCGAGAAGAGTAGATCCGCGAGCGACCCATTGCTCATGTACTCGTACACCAAAAGCCTGTTGTGTCCGTCAAGACAATAACCGAGCAATTGGACGAGATTCCGGTGATGAGTCCTCCCAATAATTTGCACCTCAGTTTGGAATTCGCTTTCACCATCCGATGAGACCTTCTCTAGTTTCTTAACAGCTACAACCTTGGGGCTATTCAACAGCGTGCCTTTATACACTGTTCCGAATGCTCCCTTGCCAATCTCTTCGGCAAAATCTTTGGTCACTGTCTTCAGCTCTTCATAAGTATATGATCTCGGCGAAAGATTCTCTATTATGCTACCATTTGCCTCCTTGGGAAGCATTTCATATAGCCGAACATGATACCTGTAAACAATGAATCCCGACACTGCCAGGGTGACTAATGCGAAAGCAATAGATGATGCAATTGCAAATAGAACATCTCTCGGAAAAGGTCTTTTCTTTCCCTCTGGCATGAAGCCATTCGTTCCATTCTCATTAGATCCAGTTTCGCCTACCTTGATGAAGAGTATGCTCGTGTCGTCAAGGTCTCTCTTGCCATATCTCAGAGGTAGCTTCTGCTTTCTGCAGGATGGGGTTTTGTATATTGCGGCTTCGCAATGGCAATCCTGCAAACATGCCTTTTGACATTCTTCGTTGGTCGAGAATGTAAGAACGTCGTACGCATCATCATCCCAGACAGTGTTAGAGACAGGTTGAATGGTGTGCCTAGTGGCGGAGTCTGTTCTCATGCAGCTCTCTGCCGTGAAGTTCCTCTGGCAACCGGATGTCCAGTTCCCCTGGTTCACAGGTCCGAATCCTGGAAGACACTTGCACTCGGCGTTCTGATCGTTCATCGCACAGAACCCGTTGAGCCCGCATAAGCCCCAAGGGATACATTTGTCGTCAGAAGACGACCATACCACTGACAGATCGGCATTCTGGGTCGCGTTGTACGAGTACAGTCGGAAAATCCCATCCGTGTCAAGTCTCATGAGATAGATTATTCCTTCTTCAGGAGGTCCTCTACTTGTGGTGAAATTCTTTACATATTCACCTGTTGTGTTCAACAGGTAGAGATAACCATCATTATCGAGATATAGTGTCACATTGTTACCGACTCCGTTGGTGTCAGACACCCAGTAAGAGTTCGTGCCGTCTTGAGTATCTACAGGATACTGCACGAGGTTTCCATCCGTTTGCATTTTGAGGCGAAAGATACCGGTTGATTGGTCGCTCGCAGAAGCGCTCGAGAACAACTGCTGGTCTGGTGATAAATGCTGACCTGCCAAGAGGGTATCAGTCGGCCAATCAAAACTCTGCCATATGACATCCCGCCTCGAGTTATACAGAACGAAATTGCCGGTGTCGAGCATAGAAGCTGAGACCGCGGTCTCACTAGGAATAGCGACAAGCTTCTCTTGCGCTTCTGCAGACTGTAGGACTAGTCTCCCGTCACGGGTGAAACGCAGGGTGGAATTGCTTGGGACCGGAGGGTCATCTCGGTTGTAGGTCCAGACCGTGGTTTTATGCAAAGTTCGTGGAAGGAAAACTCCAATTGCATAACCGTTGCCTCGCTGATAGAACCCGAATGCAAAGACACCAGAAGACGAGAGCCAGGAGGCGTTGGTGCTGGTGGTGGTGGTGGGTGTGAGAGAAGCACCGAGGCTTATGTTGATCTGTCTTTGTGCAGTTACAGTTGTGAAGATGTATGCAAGTGAGAGAAGAAAGGGAAGTGTAGCAACCATGCGAATGGAGTGCCTGTAATGAAGGGCTGAATTTGCCATCAAAGCAAAGTGAGATGTAGTTCTAATGCTATAAAATCTGTTTTGTGTTGTGAAGTATCAGCTCTTTTGTTCATGCTTTATAGAGCTGCACAACCTTCTAAATCGGAAATAATATGTTTCGGTTTTCTTCTCTATATTACGGAGATCTTAACTCTAGGAAAGTCTTCTTCAACGCAAAAAATAAGGCTCTGGCTGACAAAAACTTCAATAGGAAGCGTAGTTGATCTCGTGAGACATGGAAATAATACCGTATCACCAGAAAATTTTTTTGTTTTATAATCTAGCCTATGAGTATCGCGATGGACAGAACCAATCATATCGGGTCTCAACATAAGTCTCACATATTAAACTGCAAATAGCTTGATCCAGTAGTTTAACGATCTGATCCATTCTTTGTGAGCCAAGTCTCCAAAAGGAAAATTGCCGGCTCGTCCTGGTGATGAGTCCCCAACACTCCTCAGATCAACTTGAGTCTAATCCATCCTCGAAACACGCAATTTACTAGAAGGGCTCTTGCTTTGAACACTATCCACGTGAACCAAGCCTCAAAAGGAGCATTCAAAGTGTGATCACATGAGGTAAAGGAGTTCACACTGTGTAATCACACTAGGTGGGATCTTTTTTTTTTTCTTTTTGTTTTTGGTAACCGAGGTATCTGGGCCAGCTTGCGCGCACCTAGACTATTCCTCGGGGGAGACTAGCACAGTAACTAGGTGGGATCTTTTACTCATGAATAACTCGAGAAAGTCTCTCCCATTCGATGTAGGATTTGGAGTGTCACAAGTTGACTTAATTTATGCAATAATTACTTATAACATTGTATAACTTTTGAAATCGATTCCATAATTTTCATTATATAAGAGAAATAGAATAAGCATTTGCCATGATACCTAGGACTTTTTATCCACAATATTGTTGGAGAAATATCCCCATGAATTTTGATGATTTCAAAACTACCGTTGATATAATATCTATTATAATAAGTGTATATATTCATGGTGATTTCTAACGGACTATGATGATATCTATGATAGCTGAAGAGCTCAACAAAGACTAACAGAAATGATAAAAATCTCTCTAATTTGTCAAAACAACCTATTCACCCACCTCTAGGTTGTTTGGTACAAATATATTTTAGTAAAATTAGAGCATATATCACCAGTGTAAAGAAAATTTTCCAGCCTCAATTCACTTTTGATTTGAGGGTTTTGGATTTAACCACTCACTCTCTCACTAATCATCAAACTAAGAATGAATAAGGCTGCTCATGGATAAGACCATAATCTCTTACTTTTAATTTGTTTAATATGATCCATGAATTATAACTTAATGTGCAATGTGGTCCTTGAATTTTTAATTTGTTCAATGCAATCTCTGGACTTTTGGTATATGTTCAATGTAGTCCTAAACTATATGAAATTGTCAAATGTTGTGCTTCCATTAATTCAAATTCAAGGACAATGTTGAACATAAATTTAAGCGCAACATTAAATATTTTCATATAGTTCATAGCCCACATTAAATAAATTAAAAATTCAGGGACGACTTTGCACGTTAGGCTAAAGTTTAGAGACTACATCATATATTAGGTCAAAATTCAAGGATCGTTTGTGTCATTTTCTCGACATTTTATTCACGTACCAAGCTGTCCTTTTTTTTCTCTTCTTTATTTGTAGCTTTGATCATGTCGCTCCCTTCCCGTCAACTTTAGCAGCTGGAAATCTACATTTTCTAATGCCTCTTCCTAAAGAAAAGGTGCCCCACTTTCTTGATAGGTCAAAAGAGAATATAATCAATGGATCGGACTTGGTGGTCTCGAAGTCTCCCCGATACATTTTTTTTTATAACGAGAGGGGGCCGGCGCGAAAATTACCAAAAAAGTCCTAAACCTTTTGCAATTGTGCCAATTCAGTCCTAAACCTTTTTTTTTGCCAATTCAGTCCTAAACCTTTTGCAATTATACCAATTCAGTCCATCCGGCCACTTTTGACCGGCCGGCGCTGACGTGGCGCCGGCCGGCGTCCACATGGTAATTTTTAATAATTTTTTTTATTATTTTTCGAATTTTTTTTTTTTTTTTCTCTTTCTTTTTTTTTTTCGCCTATCTTCTTCCCCGGTCGCCGGTCCGGCGACCGGCGAGAGGCTGAGGCCGGCGAGGTCCACCTCGCCGTCGCCGGGCAAGGTCGACCTCGCCATGGCCAGGAGCGCAGGTCGGCCTCGCCGTCGCCGGCGAGGCCTCTCCCAAATCTGGGCGAGGTCGACCTCGCCGTCGCCGGGCTAGGTCGACCTCGCCATGGCCGGGCGAGGTCAACCTCGCCCGGCGACGGCGAGGCCTCGCCCGGGCGACGGGCGAGGCCGACCTCGCCTGGCCATGGCGAGGTCGACCCCGCCGTCGCCGGGCGAGCTCGACCTCGCCCAGCGACGGCGAGCTCTCGCCAGATCTGGGCGGCCTCTCGCCCGGTCATGGCGAGGTAGGCCTCGCCGTCGCCGGGCGAGGCCTCGCCCGGTCATGGCGAGGTCGTCCTCGCCCATGGACCTCGCCGGCCTCAGCCTCTCGCCGGTCGCCGAACCGGCAACCGGAGAAGAAGATAGGCGAAAAAAAAAAAAGAAAGAGAAAAAAAAATTCAAAAAATTATAAAAAAAATTATTTAAAATTGCCACGTGGACGCCGGCCGGCGCCACGTTAGCCGGCCAGCGGCCACGTCAACGCCGACCGGCCAAAAGTGGCCGGATGGACTGAATTGGCACAATTGCAAAAGGTTGTAGGACTGAATTAGCAAAAAAAAAAAAAAGGTTTAGGACGAATCGGTATAATCATAGTGCCAGCAGGACTTTTTGGGTAATTTTCCCGGGCCGGCCTCTTCTACGGTTGACCCGTCCAACGCGAGGGGGGAAAGGCACCAGATGTCTTTCGGGTCTTTTGGGGTCCTTTTTCCTGTCTCTTCTTCTTGTGAGAAAGTCGTTGTCTAGTTGCGACAACTTTTGGGGGAAATTGCATGCGCCAACCGGTACCGGTTTTTATTATTGTGTAATTTTTATTTCAAATGCAGGTAAAGCGAATTGTTATTTTTTTTTATCATTGTTGACTTTGACTATATTAAAGTGGTGTACGTGTGGATTACTCTCGCTGCTAATGTTATCTTTAACTATATTTAAAGTAGTGTACAGGCGGGCGACGCGTATCACTCCATAATAGGGCTTTTTCTTTTTTTTGGTCGAAAAGAACTTTCATATATCACCATTGGAAACTAGCCGGCAGTAGGGGTGTCAAAACAATTTCTGAATTTCGATCTAACGCAAACAGGGACATCACTACGGGTGGGGATGAGAGCCGGTTTTCTTTTTTTTTTGTTCGGTAAGAGCTAGTTAGGTGGAAGACAATGTTTTCTTTGGGCTTTCGCGGCCCAATCGCCACCATTTAATACCACGAAAAATTCTAAATTGGTACACATATGATAATTTTATCCCGAACTAATTTTTTGACCACCAAAAACCCCAAATTGGTACATCCATGATAAATTTACCCCGAACTAATTTTTTTATTATCAAAAACCCAAACTGGTTGTTTTGGGTCGAGTGCCAGGTAGTTTTTTTCCGTGAGACAAAAATTAGTTTGGGTAAATGTATCGCCAAATACTAGTTTGAGATTTTTTAGAAGACGAAAATTAGTTTGAGTTAAACATATCATAATATATAAATTTGAAATTTTTTATGATTTTAACCCTAGTATGATAGGATGAGTTAAAAAGTGATTCCCACCCCCTAGATCCACGTTTTGATTGGCTACGATTCACGTGATGACAATCAATGATTAAGATATAAACCTATGATTTAGGCGCAAGACTGAAAATCAAGAGAAATAAAATAAACATATGCCATGATATATAGCACGTTTTGTTTTAGTAAATTTAGGAATTAATACCACGGAAAACTCCAAACCAGTACACCTGTAATAAATTTACCCTAAATTAATTTTTTGACTTTCAAAAACTCCAAACCGATACATTGATGATAAATTTACCCTCTATTAAATTGGATTAATACCACGAAAAATAAAAAATTAGTACATTTTTAACAAACGGAAGGTAAAACCCCAAAATGGAACACCCATCAATGTGTCATCAAACTCAAAAATTTGATGGTAAAATTTAACGGAAACTAACGGAGGATAAAATTGTCACAAATGTACCAGTTTGGAGTTTTTTTGGATAAAAAAGTTTGGGGTAAAATTGTCATTGATTTACGAGTTTGGGATTTTTCGTGGTATTTATCCTAAATTTAAAGCATGTGTCATCATTATAAAGAAAATTGGCCTAATTCACTCTCTCACTAATCATTAAATTAGGGAGAAATAAGACAGCTCATGGATAGTAACGTAATTATTATTATTATTGTTATTATTATTATACTTTATTTATACAGCTCATTTGCTCAATCTCTGCTTCGTTTTTTCTTATAACGCGTCAGTGATATTGCATAGGCTGACCCGTTCCACGCGTGGGGGGGAAGCACTCCAACAAGTTGTCCAGTCCTTTTGCTTGTTCTTGCTTCTCAGAATCGGTCTTCGTCTTCTTCTTGCGACAACTTTTGCGGAGATCGAATTCTCCAGTGCCTTTCATTTTCCAATTTTCCACAAGTTCTATTAGTCTACAATCTTTTTATAACTGAAAATAATGTTTTCATTGTAATCTATAACTATATTAAAGTGATCTATATGATCGTTAACACAACATGAACTTACGGGTTTTACTTAATCGGGCATTTCGTAAAACCGCATCGTATAAAAATTGATATGCATACGCAACTTACATAACCTTTTTAATTTGATTAAGTTATTAGTCCTGTGATTTTTATGTTGTCAATGCCAATTATAACGATCAACGCTTTTGGATTTTTGTAATTATTCGTGTTTGTGTCAAGATTGATGAGTCACTTGATGTGAAAGCAAGAAGTCATATTCAACTTTATTTCTGGTCCTGTTGACTTGACTAGCGATCTGATTA